CCGGAGGACGAGCGCTGACTCCACGACATGTTCCCCCGGGGCTTCCTCTGGGGGGCCGGCAGCGCGGCATTCCAGGTGGAAGGCGCCTGGGACCGGGACGGCAAAGGGCCCTCGGTGCTGGACGTCTTCGCGCACCGCCACGCAGCGCCTTTCCAGAGCCCCGCCGGGCGGCCCTCCGGGGACTCGGCCAGCAGCAGCTACGACCACGTCGAGCGAGACCTGGACGGGCTGAGCGTCTTGGCGGTCTCCCACTACCGCTTCTCGCTCGCCTGGGCGCGCCTCCTACCTAACGGCACGGCGCCCGCCAATCCTGCCGGGTTGCATTACTATGCGCGCCTGCTCTCCGGCCTGCGGCAGCGTGGCATCGAACCCGTGGTCACCCTCTACCACTGGGACCTGCCCCAGACCCTGCAGGATCTCTACGGCGGCTGGGAGAACCCGGTTCTGGTCGATCTTTTCTTGGACTACGCCCAGCTCTGCTTCCAGCACTTTGGCGGCCACGTGCGCTACTGGCTCACCATAGACAATCCTTACCTTGTGGCGTGGCACGGCTACGCCACGGGCAAGCTGGCCCCGGGTGTGCGGGGCGGGCGGGAAGTGGGCTACAAAGTGGCGCACCACCTCCTTAAGGTAAGGATGGAGCACAGAAACGACCCTCAGCTTCTGGGGGCCTAATTGCTGTCCTTTGCTAAGCACTGTTTTGTTGAGCGCTTGTTGCCGCTGGCGAGATGTTGACTTTTAGCAAGGGTAATTCATGGTCATCTTGAAGAGCCACTCGGGCCTGCGTCTTGCAGATGCGTTGAACTCCGACTCCTGCAGTTTCCAGCCAGCATGCCTTGTTGTTCACGCTGACTGGGAGTTGTGAGGGTTGAAGTCCAACAGTTGTGGAGGGCGCCAAGTTGGGGGACATTGATCTTTATCTGAGAGCAGGCCTGTCCCGGTTAATATTCCATTCCTGTGCCATTGTACTTAGAAGCAAGCTCCAGGGTGCTCTGGTGGGGTTTTCCTCCCAGGTAATACAGAGTTAAACTGTTAGACCTTGGCAGCCAATAAACAGTCTTGAAGCAGATTAAAAATTAAATTATTATATCTTAATGTTAGTAGACTATGGCAACATTTCATGAGATACCCTAGCAGCAGATTTCAACTCAAATGCTAAGATTTGCCACAAATAAACATTTGAGTAAATTGCAACTTCATAGAAAACTCCAAATGGGAATGAGCAGATATATCACATAATAAGAATAGGTAGAGATATTGAAAACCTTGCTTTACATGGAATAAAGTTTGTCCAGTGCATATAATAATGAGACATTTTCCTGACATTTAGCCCACATGGTAATGAAAGTAAATTGCAAGTTATCCCTGCTGTAATTTAATAGAACTTTATTGGTACTCTTTACTCACTTATCAGCATGGTATGCAACAGCTCCAGAAAGTTTTATTGGTCTGCAGAAGAGTGAACTCGCCACCTGGAGTGAGCAGGCACTTTTTCCCTCCTGGGATCCAGAGTTTTGGTGGTACCTGGGAAGGAGGTTAAAACAGCCCCACTCTCTCCTTAATTGGAGAGGTTTTTTTTATAAAAAGGGAACTAAAAACAAGCATGTGTGTGGGTGTGTTGAGAAGAAGAGTCGAGCCCAGAAGATGGCAGAGATGTGGGAAAAAGAAACTCCAACCCAAAGGCAAATACCTTTGGAGAAAACTTTAGTTCTTGGAGCTGCAAGGCCGGGAAGAGGCAGAGCTGAGAGACGGGGGAGCAGGAGAGCCCCACCAGTGTCTGCAAAACCAGGCAAGCCTGCAAACCAAACCAAGCCCACTGTGCCCAGCAGCCCAGGCGCAGGGCCCGACCAACCAGCTCCAGGAAGAGAGGACTTGTGAGTGCTGGTGGTGGGGAGAGAAGTCTGTAGAGGAGGGAAAAGGGATTTCACCTGCAAATGGACTGAGGTTGGCCCAAGAACTGAAGGCCTGGGGGAAAAGGAAAGATTGGAAGAAGAAATAGTTAAGATAAGAAAACATAGTGCTAACATAGGAACATAGAAATAGAACGTAGAGGTAGAAATTTATAGATTAAAGAAGAATAGAAATGGTTGTAAGCTTGTAGTAATAGGAAGATAGTAGAATAAGATAGGAGTTTAATTTTGTACAATAAAACAGTTCTGTGTGGGAAAAACAAAGTGTTTGTGTCTGTGTTCTGTACCATATTAGGAAAAACCCTAACATGGTCATGTTCTCTGCACCTTTTTGTTCCAATTCCTGATACCCATGAGCTTCTCTGCGATTCCTGGATCTCTGAGACAAAGATTAGAAAGTAGACTTTTAAAAAAGCATCAGGTGAAAGAAAAAGCTTCCAACACTAAAGTTGGACCCAAATCATTGGGGAAAAATGCTTGAGTTTAGTGATGGTCTCGATTTGCATGGAAGAGATGATCTAGTAAAGATGTATTATGGTCATGAATCTGCCTTGGTCCTCTTTCTTCTTAGAGAAAAAGTCTGTTCAAGTCTTTTCCATAAGCAACCATGATATTTAACAGTTCAGAATTTGTGTAGAACAATGCTCTGCAGTATTATTCTGTCAACCTTTTATGGTGTTGATATGGTCACTCCTAGAGCATAAGTTCTTTCCTTCTGCTGTCAAATTTTATTTAGCTTGAATTCATTATTTACCCTTTAGGTATTGGGGGAAAAACCCAACTTGCTAGGTCCTGTGTATTGCTTTCTGCCTGTGGCAAATTCTACTGAAGACGGTTGCAGGTTTTGTTTTTTTTTTAATTATCAGAATGGGTAAACTTGTGGTGATGGAGGAGATTGAACTAGACGATTTTATATACCTTACAGTTCTAAAGACATTTCAGATAAAATAAGGCATCACATCATTTTTCCAAGAAGCTCATGGCGGTATCTTTGGGTCATTCCCTTCTCCTCACCTCAACTCTGTGGAGTAAATCAAGTTGACTGTCCCAAGATCACTGATTTTCACAGATGAACGAGGATTTGAACCCAGATCTCACACTCTCCTGTTTCACTTTGATTTTAATTTTATCCCTTTGTTTTAAATCTTAGAGTTGTTAGTGAATTTTAAAGGTAAGAATTGAAAAGTTCCTGTGTGGTAAAACATTTCTGTTCTTAAAGGGGCATACCAGAATTTCAGATGTCATGGGATTGCAGAAGAGCAATCATGTTTACTTGCTTGAGAGATTTTGCTTGGCATTTTAAAGAAATACAGCCCAAATAGATTCCACTGTGCTGAATGAAGTTTTTCTCATTAGCAATGAATGTTCTCATCCTCTAGCCACTTGGTAATTATATCTGATTTTGATCTGACTTTTAGTGCAACATCTTAAATTATTTTTAGTTTTTTTAATATTGTTAATCACTCTTCTGTTTTTGACCTACCAGTCTATATGCATATAAAGGTAGACACAGGTTTTACTTTAAAAGCTACATTTTTGAAAATATGATGGGACAACAATCAATTACTTGTTATTTCTTCCTAGAAAGCTTTGAGGGAATTCTTGGTGTAACCTGACATAGCTTAAATATTTGACAAGTCCCAGGTTGTATGTTCAAAATGCTTTATCTTGAACCCATCCACTCCCTACCTTTATTTGGTAACTACAGGACTCATCTTAACTGATAAATAGTTGTTGGAAACTACTTTATAACTTCAATTGACCTAGTAACAGTATTGCCTTTTTGACATGGAAAACGTATGTTTCTTATAGGACTGCAGTCTGAGATGATAATGAACTTTTAAATGTAAAAACTGAACAGAACTTTTAACAAATGTACATGTGGGTAAAAGTATATTAGAATGTAAGGATATAAGATAAACACACTGAGATAGCAAAATTAGTAGTGCACGGGCTATTAAAACTAAACAAACCAAGAGTGCTAGTACAAATAGATTATAATATTTGAAATGGCTGATTTCAGAAAAAGAAGTAATAATAGTGATAACATATTACAAGTACTGAAACTAGTGCAACGAATTATTTCTGTTGTTTAAAATAAAGAATAGAGGATACACTGTTTTTTCAGTCTAATATAAATGTGAAATGCACAGACTATTAAAAGGGACAGGTTTATGTCCATGTAGTTCCTAGTTTACTAGGGTTCTGTTCTAAACCCATTACACATCATGTAATCCTTTCATATGCTTAATTACTTGGATGTAAATCTTTCCTTTCTGGGAAGAACTAATCCGTAGTCATTAAGAGTTGACACCGACTTCTTGTTGTTCAATCGTTAAGTCATGTCCGACTCTTCGTGACCCCATGAACCATATTGCGCCAGGCCTTCCTGT